AAGTCTATTCACAGTCAGTCAGTCAGTCCTGGAGCTACCGCCGAGTGAGTCCTTGAGCTACCTCCGAGTTAGTTCCGAGTTAGCCAGCAACTAGTCAGTTGTATTGTGGCATTTGGAGAGTAATACTTGTGATACTGCAGATAGCAGTAATTCTAAGACTGTCAATTGTGTGATTGTAAGTGCGAATGTGAAATAAAATTCGCTACATCAAATACATCATGAAGTTATTTGTCGCGATATACGCCCAATACGCGACAATATTTTAGAAATTACTGAAGTGAATTTTGTGAAATTTTCAGGAGCCATTACAAATATTCTAGACTTTCATGCAGCATATTTTTTTTTATGTCATCTGACCTCCTTTGCTGCTAGAAAGCGGCTTTGCTCTGGCCAATCTAAAGAATTCCTTAAGACACAAACCTGTGCCACTGTCATTACACTGCAGTGAAGTTTCTTTTCTTTTCCCACTCATCTTTCATTAGACTGCATCTCTTCATGGGCTTGGCCTTCTTCTCAGAGGGAGGTATTTTTTCTACAGAGTGCCTTGCTGTCAGTCTCTCCAGCATTGCTGTCTTGGGTTTAACATCTTCCCATGTACTTCAAATAATTCTTTTATTATTTGAAGTAAGAAATTCAGATGGCTAGTGATTCAGTATTGAGGGGGTGGGTTTCCCCAATTCTTTTATTATTTGAAGTAAGAAATTCAGATGGCTAGTGATTCAGTATTGAGGGGGTGGGTTTCCCCATGCACCGTGACTGATAGTCTATTGTACGTCCCCCTTTTAATTTCTACAGTCTCCATCCCCTACCGGTACTGGTGGTCACTATTAGCCCCTTTCTGCCAGCGAGGTTTCTACCCTCTACTTGGCAGTGGTATCTAATAGTTAGTCCCTTTCTGTCAGCGAGGTCGTCCCTCCTCTGGCAGGGGTTCCTAGTCCCTTTCTGTCAGTGAGGTCGTCCCTCCTCTGGCAGTGGTACCTAATACTTCCCCATCTACCGGAGGCATTGGAAACTACTTTGGGCGGGAAATGTTTGGCCTAATTTAGCTCAGCGGTCTCTTAGAGACATGAGGTTCTTTTACGTGCCGTAAATCTACGACACGGGACCCACAGCTTAAAGTCCCTCCCGGAGTACTTGGTCCCTGAATTTTTCCGCCCTTAAAAATTCCACGACCTCCAGCGGGTTTTTGAACCTGCGTACCTTGAGTCATGAGGTGGGAACGTTACCCCTAGACTATGGAGGCCGCAGATGGCTAAGTTACTTCACATTATGGTTTTCTCTGTAAATCACATAGGCATTGTGCACTGAAATATTTAGCAGCCTCTTGTACAATTCTGCATTCCACTTTGTGCTTCTCTTTCCTCCAGTTTTATGTGGTTGCAGTTTTTGATCCTTCAGGTCTGCTTCTCCCATAAATAAATTATATTCCTGTGTACCTCTTGGTTTGTACAGATCCCTTTCTCTGTTCACAGCTGCCACCATGGTGTCACTTTGAGATGTTGAAATGAATGACACAGGCTTCTTTTCTATCTTCTTCACCACCATCATTCCTTGACACGGCACAGCTGTATACTCGTCCCATTCAGGTTTGCTTCTTTCCCTACCAGAGGAACATTCTTCCTGTGTAGTCACTGTGTTCTAGCTACATTTACAGCACTTTTTGGAAGTCAACAGAGGTCGGGAGAAGCATGGAAATTATCCATCCATAATGTGTGTCCTCTAGTTAAAAGTGGTTCCACCAATTTTATAACCATCTTCTTAAACGTCTATATATCAAGTCAGTCAATGATGCAACGATCATTAAAATAATTACCATTTAACACTAACACAACATGTTTCGGCCACAGATGGCCAACCTCAGGTGTTTCAGTGCGTCCAAACTGTTACACTGCTTTGATGCGCACTAAAATTGTTTCTTGTAGTCCACTTACTTAAAATTCATTAAAACTTTTATTTATTTTTTTTTCAAGTATAATGTTTTGTAAAATCATATTCCACCTCGTAAGGGGCATCATCCACTTGTTTAAAGCTGTGTGATATTCGAGACAGTTTGTTTCAGCAGCTTGTTCTTCTGTTTCATTAGCCCGTTGTTTTGCTACGTCTTCAATGTGTAATGTGCCCGTTGCTTGTGTGTTGTTCCCTCTAGCAGAATGTGGTGTTGTGAAGACATCATGTGTCTCAGCTTTGGTGTCTTCACAATTTCCATGTTGTCTCATGTTCATTGCCAACACTGTCAGGTTCGTTCTCATCCACCCTTCCATCCATTTCATCAGATATACACCACTCTTTAAATCCTCAGACTGTCACTTCTGGAGAGATCAGTTACCATGGGCTTGA